GGGGGGGAAAGGGGGGAGAAAGGGAAGGGGGAGGAAGGGGGCAGGAGGGTGCCAGCCCAGCTGACTCCCCCTTACCAGCAGTTCCCCAGCAGCCCCTGCAGGATATCTGAGGGCCTGGGGGTCCTGAACACCGACCACTTCACCGTCCGGTCCTTGAAGATGCTGCAGTTGATCTCGTGGGGCCGCAGCCACTGCCGGACCCGCTGCTGGACACTGTCCCCCTCCGGGAACCCCACCGACTTGGGCCCCGGGGGAAAACTGTCATCTACAAAATTGACTTTGTTCTGTGAGAGCAAAAGGCAAGGAGAGCATCAGTGTGCAGCTCCTCAGGGAATCCTGGGAGGGGAGCAGCCTAGAAAACCTCCCACTGCCCCCTCAGCAGGAGGGTGGAGCCCCCAGCCCTCCTGCCTGGCCTGGGCGTCCCAACGTTGTGCTGAGGAGCAGCCCTGGCACTGGGTGTCTCCTGACAATGGCACAGACATATTTTCTTCCCCTTCTTCCCCTCTCTGAATGTGTTGAAGGCCAGGCTGGCTGGGGCTTGGAGCAACCTGGGCTGGTGGGAGGTGTCCCTGCCTGTGCAGGGGGTTGGAACTAGATGATCTTTCAGGTTCCTTCCAACCCAAAGCAGTGTGGGATTCTGTGATGTTGCACCAGGTCCAGTATTCAGCCCTGGCTCACTTCTCCAGCTCCAAGCTCTGGACTGGCTCAAATCTGCATTTTCTGTTTCACAGGAACCTCCCTGCACAGGGACAGTCTCACACTTCGTGCTGGTGCTAAAAGCTGGACCGTGGGGGACCTTGGCTGCCTCTACAAGTGACAAAACCCATGAGCAGTGAGGCTGTGAGGAGCCAACTGGCAAGTTAACGCTCCTCAAGCCAAGCTCTGTGCTCAGGGCTGAGCTGGGGACACGGTGGGCTTGGATGTCCTGTGCCAGCCCCAAGGCACAGCCACGGGGGATGTCAGGGGCACTTTTTGCAACTGGACTCAGCCTGACCACAAACAGGCAAGTGATTCCAGAGTGAGGAACCCCATGTCCAAGCCCACCTGCAATAGCTGCTGCCTATTAAATTAAAAGAGGATGGACTGAAGGATGGATAATCCCACAGGTATTGGCCACCAGCACAGGATGGAAGCACAGAACTTCCCCAAGGGAAGAAGTGCAGTTTTTCAGTTTAACCCAGGGTGAAACAAGAACTGGGATTTCTTTGTTATCATTAATTAAATGAAATTGAATTCTTTCAGCAAAAGCTGGCTCTGATTTAAATTAACCTTCATGCACACCAAACTAGTAGTTGTCCTGCCTTTTTTGCTGCAATCCTACATGAAGGCTTTTCATGTAATGACTTAATTAGCACTTCCAGCTTCTTCTTTTGCAGAAGGGTGTTAATCCATGTCTCTGTTCAAACACCAAAGTGGACGAAAAAGGTCACATCCCAGGGCTTGCTGACCTGCCCAAGGGAAGCATCTGCTCCCTGCAGCTGAGGAGCAGCCACCTCTGCCATATTCATCATAGAATGGTTTGTGTTGGGAGGGACCTTCAAGATCATCTAGTTCCAACCCCCCTGCATGGGCAGGGACACCTCCCACCAGCCCAGGTTGCTCCAAGCCCCATCCAACCTGCCCTTCAACACTGCCAGGGATGGGGCAGCCACAGCTTCCCCGGGCAACCTGGGCCAGGCTCTCACCATTAGACATTTCCTCCTAATGTCCAACCTAAATCTCCCCTCTTCCAGTTTAAATCCATTCCCCCTTGTCCTCTCACTCCCTGCTCTTGTCCCAAGTCCCTCCCCAGCTTTCCTGGAGCCACTTCAGGCACTGGAAGGTGCTATGAGGTCTACCCAGATTGCCCAGCAGCCTCACCCACCACATCCCTGTGTTGCACACTCACAGAGTGGCCAGGATTGGAAGGGGCCTCTGAAGATCATCTAGTCCAACCCCCCTTCTTGGTGACCCCAGCAGGGTCACCTACAGCAGATCCCACAGAACACATCCAGATGGGTTTGGAATGTCTCCAGAGGAGACTCCACAGCCTCCCTGGGCAGCCTGTCCCAGGGCTCTGTTGCTCTTGCCTCTCGAGGTGCAGCCGGGGCTCCCCAGGATCCCACCATGCACACACAGAGCAAGGCAGTGGGATCCTGTGGGCATCACGAGCTTTCCACCCCTTGTGGAGTCACTGCAGTGCTTCTTCAAGCAGCAGAAGTGGCAGAAGCCCTCAGGCTCCCCACTCTCATGGCCAGGGACTCACCTGGGCCAGGGGAACACTCAGAAGTTCTGCAGGAGTCTGGACAGGAGCCCATGGTCCTCAGCAGCACAAGGCACAGCAGCACAATTCCCCAGCTCCAGGAGATCCTGCCTAATGAACTAATTACCTTTCTGCTGTGGTGTCTCCCTTCACTTATTTCTAAATGCTTTAGAGAAGTTGTCTCTGCCAACATCCCTGTGAGATGGGGGGAAGAGGGGCACAAGAGCTGCAGGGGATGAATCAGAGCAGCAGGGAGAGGAGCAGGTACCTGCTCTTGTGCCCAGACAGTGAGGAGCCAGCTCACAGATGGTGCCAGACAAGGAGCTCTGATTATTCCCCCTGCAAGGGGATAAATCTGGGCATCAGATCTCCTTCACTCCTCCTGCTCTGCCAACAACCCTGTTCACACTGCTCTGGACCAGAAATGTCACCTTCTCTGTTTCCACCACCCTGGGAGGGCCCACAAAAGCTGCTGCCCTGTCCTTGTGGCCTTGCTGCCCACCATGAAATGCCTGAGGGTGGAGGAGAAGGAACAAAAGAGATGGGGCCTCATCTGCCAGCACATGAAAGGGCTCCACAGGGAGAGGTGGCAGAGCATGGCACAGACAGCAAGAGTCCAGGGTTGTCCTTCTAACTCTGCAGGACATGCCAATGAGTTACTTGGAAAGGGGGAAGGATGGTGGATCAGGGGAGAGAAGTGTGAGACAGCAGGATAAGCAAGAGAGGAGGCAGCCCAAGACAGGGAAGCAGATGCCCTCTGCAGAGGCAGCTAGTGGAAGAGGTCAGCTCTACTCTCCTCCCAGATGGAAGAGAAAGAGTAAAACTAAACATGGAGGCCACGCACCAAGAAGTGTTGGAAGAAGCACCCCTGGAATAGCAGAGGAGGGAGCATCCATGGCCAGAGCTGGAGCAGAAATCCTGGCAGGAAGCAGCAAAGCAAGGCAGGGCTCCCCACCACCTGGGGCAGGAGACAACAGGCAGAGAACTTGGCCAGCTAGATGCTCTCCTCTGGGAGAAGGGTGAACAGCCTGGGAAACACCGTGGACAGAAAGAAGCTCAGAGGCAGCCAGTCCCACCAGGAGCAGTGCTGGGAGGCTGCAGGCATGCCAGGAGCAGAGTGAGCAGGAGGAGGGGGCAGCAGTGTCCCACCAAGGCTGCCAGCTCTTCCCTCAGACCTGCAGAAGCCCCTGACTTACCACCAGGTGTCAGAACACAGCAGTGACTGCGTGTCAGGGGGAGTTTCAGGAGATGATCCACGCTGATCTAAGATCCCATTACTGCTGGCTCAGCAGGCTGGAGGGGCTCAGCCAAGGCCCTGACCAAGAGCTCTGCTGGATGGGGTCACACTTCCCTCCTCAGCAGTGGCAAGCTGCCAAGCCCACGTGGCCACCTCTCATGATTCATCTTTCAGGCCTGATTCCACTGGACATAGCAGATGTTCCCTGCCCACAGAAGAGGCCACCCTCTTGCTTAGAAGAGGGGGATAAGCAGAAGCAGGGTCTCTGTACTGCAAAGACACTCACATCTGTTAGGACGGACATGTAGCAATTAAAAAACCCCACGTCCCCAAAGCAGGATCATTCTCAGCAGCTTCCATCTCTGTGGTCCTGGTCTGCACAGTGGAGACACAGGCACGGACACATTCCTTGGCCCAGGCAGGAAAAGCCTTGTCTGTATGTCAACATGGGACTGCAACTCCCTTTCCATCTGGCCCAGAAGGGCTGGAGGCTTCCCCAGAAGGAGGGATGAGAAAGAGCAGCATTCACAGGAGCATCTTAAACCACTCAAGGAAGAAAATGGGGCCATCAGAGCATTGCGTGAGGCTGCAACCCAACAGATTGAGCCAGACACTTCACAGAGGGTGGGGAGGGTGATGGCATGTGCTCCTGAGACCCTCTCCCAGAGCCAGGGCACAGCCAAACCTCAGCTGCCCTTCCCAAACAGGGGTGAGCCACCTGCAGCTCTGCAGACACCCAAGAACCTCCAGGCCCAGCTCACAGCTCTTGAACACCTGCTGGGAGTGGCAGCAGCTCCTCTGCCTGCTACATCCCCGGGTTTCCTGCACCCACACATGTGGAAGGTGCTGCCCATA